TAGAGATCTGCCCATTCAAAGTGTCTTTCAGGGTGGACCCAGGAGAACCCCTGGGGATCTCTGGCTTCAGCTTGGTTTCTCTAGCCCCGTGAGAGTTCAAACAGCAAAGAGATGAAAAATCTTCATGTGTAAACTACATTATTCCCCTCTTCCAGCATTCCAAGCGATGGGACAAGGCCTCCTGCACATCCTTCTCCATGGGTGGATGAGGCAATTAACAAAACTTTTGTCTTATAATGGCCCATATAAATGTTGATCTCCTGGATGGATTGGAGAGGGCGGGGGAAGATTATCCCTGTGCCTGGGTTTAGAAATTCAGAGCAAACATTCTCAAAGTTATAAAGCAATATTTATGTATTTTCTTGTAGCCTGGAATACAGACATTACAACTGAGATCAATGAATGCAGCAACTTACCAGCATTTCATAGAGTCTAAACACTAAATACATTCTAATAAGACTATTAACTATTTTGCGCAAAACTAACATATAGGTGAACTGGTCACATCACCAGCTACGAGTTTGTCAGTTCTTAGCTAATACCTGCAGTCCTGGCAAGAGCTGGCACCTGGTCTGCCAGAGTCACAGCCACCACATCCCATCCATCCAGGTTCTTAATATGGCCCTCCTTGTGTGTCCTCCTTAACACGCCCATTTTCTTCTCAAACACCTAACTAGCTTGGATTGGAAATCCAGATTCCATAGGAACCAGGGAGCAAAGGAGTTCTAGTATTGAAGACTTCACTGAAGTTCTCCTGCCACCTCTCCATCTCCCATTTAAAAACTGAGGGAGAGTATTGGCTCAAACACCACAGCTGAGTTCACAGAACTCAAGTGCAAAGTACGCCCTGTGAGCAGCAAGTCAAGCAAGCGGTTGGCTGTAGGAAACCTTCTCCTCTTCCTCTCCATGGATGCCTGTTGGACAGGCTCTGAAAGAAGTGGGGGTCCTGGGGAAAGGCTAGTAATATCACGTAACTGAAGACTGTATCATACACACAAGTGGACAGAAATAGAGTAGCACAAGCAACCTTAAATCTGTCGGTTATGGTTATCCAAATGCATTGTTTGTTGTAAAATTCATATATAAATTCAGGACATATCCTAATCAATAACAGAGCACTGCAATAGAGGCACAGAAAATGTAATATATTTACTGTATCTTTTTTTGTACTCTGGTGCATTTTACAGCCCGGTTCACAGTGATTGGACCTGATCAGCCTGTCACTGCCATCATGGGGGAGGACATTATTTTACCCTGTCACCTGTCCCCCAAGATGAGTGCTGAGAACATGGAAGTGAGATGGTTCCGATCTGAGTTCACTTCATTTGTGCACCTCTATCAGCATGGAAAGGATGAGTATGGGCAGCAGATGCCAGAATATCATGGAAGGACAGAGCTTTTGAAAGCTGGCATCGTGGATGGGAATGTTGCCTTGGGAATTGTCAATATCAGACTTTCTGATGAGGGACAGTACCGCTGTTTTGTTCAAGATGGTGTCTTTCATGAAGAAGCTGTATTGGAATTGAAGGTGGCAGGTCAGTAACATGTGTCTGTTGTCTCTTTTTAGATGGCTCTTAGACCCGGACCCAAAAAAGCACTTGGGCACCAAACGCCCCACTTCAGTCCAAAATTTAGGTGCCCCTGAGATCCTCAAAATAGTCATTAAATTAAATAGTCATTAGGCCAGAGAGAGAGAGAGAGACTCTGTAGTCCAGTGGTTAAGGTACCCACCTGGTAGGTGGGAGACCCAGGGGCCAGTCGTCCTGCTAATTAATCTTTGATTATTTATCCAATCTGGACAAATAAACAGCCATTGGAGGAGGGTGGCTGGACTGGGGTTTTCCCACCTCCCATGGGTGTACCCTAGCCACTGGACTACAGTCTATTTCTCTCTCTGGCCCAATGACTATTTAAATATTTATAAATAGTAGAAAAGTTATTGGGCCAGAGAGAGAGGCAAGATTTTTCTAGGTCATTATCCTTTAATTGAAAATATTTTAGTATGAACAGATAAACAGTTCATGTTGTTGGATTGAGATTCATGTACTCAGCTGGTGGGTCTAACAAATCTTTAAGGCAAAATACTCAGCAAGTAGCGATCAGTTATTCACAGGCGGGAAGCTTGTTGGGATGATCTCATCAGTCACCTCCAACAATGGACAATACAGCTTCAACCTCCCTTTATTAACCAAGCTTATTTATAACTTTTTGTTATATTATATGCATGTATTAGTCTGATAAATGGGGGGGGGGGCGGTAGCTCCCTTTTATGGCCACCCAGCCAGCCAGTAGCTATAAAATCCCTCCCCCCAGTTCTGCTTATGCTGTTAAACGTTATCAGAACAAACTCTGAAAATCCACAGCAGGCTTCTGTCAGGCCTAAAGATGATTTTGCTCCCAAAACATGCCACTCTTTGCTGCAGGTATCAGTTGATCTGCAATTAGTCTCAGCTGGGACAGTAGTGAAAAGAGCACATTACCTCACCTCAATTGCATTAAAAACAAAAAAATCTTTGTTTAGCGACTGTTAACATTTGCATCAAGACACACTGCACCAACTCTAATACCTGTGGTTATAAAAAGTGCTGTAACTGAATCACAGCTTATGGACTTGAAAAACAATTAGAACACAAGACTGGCCATATTGGGTCAGACCAATGGTCCATCTAGCCCAGTATCCTGTCTTCCGACAGTGGCCAATGCCAGGTGCCCCAGAGGGAATGAACAGAACCGGTAATCGTCAAGTGATCTATCCCCTGTTGCCCATTCCTAGCTTCTGGCAAACAGAATTAATTCATGGAAGCCCTATGGTCTATGTTAGATTGAACATCAGACCAGATGATCACAGTGGTCCCGTCTGGCCTTAACATCTATGACTCTCTGAAAGCAAAAGCTTTAAAGTGAGGACGTCTGTAGTATATGGAGACCCAAACCAGATTAGAACTGAAAGAGGAGATCTCTTATTCTGCTACAGCTTCACATAGACAACCAAGAAGCCTCCATCTTGAAAAAATTCTTCACACCATGGCCCCTGGAGCATGCTCAGTACCATAGGTGCCGACTCTGTGGGTGCTCCAGGTCTTAAAACTTTTACAGGTTTTATGCTCCTGGGGAAATAGACTGAGAATGGGAACCGTTAACTAACAGTAGGAACATTAACAATGTTACTAGGCAGGCACGCTGCTAAATTTCTGCCTCAGGATGAGATCAATTAACTATCAATAGCACCATTAACAATGTGGGGGTTTTTTTGTTTTTGTTTTTTACATCAAGAACAATGTTTTATTTCAAGCATTGAAACAGTTTTTCAGGAATGCACAGAGCAAACTCTTATTCTTTCATACCTTATCCCTTCTCAAGCCAAAACTGACTGAATTTTGTTTCAGTCCAACTCCTGTTGTCTGCTATAAAATGAGCATCCAGGCAATTTAAGGGATAGCACTGGCTAATTGCATTTCCAACCCTGGCAAAACAGCTCATTTGTTCCTTGCAATGAAGGAACATAGGCAGGCAGGCTGCTCCATTTCTGCCTCAGGGGACAGAGCCTGCCTCATGCCTAACAACCCAAAGCCTTATCCCTCCGCACTAGGCAGGCCGCAGTAGCAAGCGAGAGGGACAGAGTCTCTTTCACTTGTTGGCACTCATGCATGCCCAGCAATCACCCCCTGATGGTGATTAATGTCTCCCATGCAGGCACTCATGAGGCTCCCTCACCCCATGGTGGTTATAATAGCACATGACAACTTTAACCAGCTCATCAAAAGATTTGGCACTGGGCTTTTCCAGGGCCACCAAACTATAGGTTTTTGCTCCACAAATGGTCAATAAAATGGCGTGTTTCTTGTTATCATCCTCTGTATCATTTGTGATGAAGTACTAAGAGAGTCTGTCTCTGAGTACTGAATCCAGTCCTCCTGGTATACATTATACTCTTTCATTTTTTCCATATGCAACCATTTTTTCTTTACAATAAAAAAAAAAGGTTTTCACTTACTCATGCAGTGTGTAGAACTTGCTGCCTGTTGTTTTCATTTTATCCTCATTGCCTGTGTAGGATTCAGAATCATAGAAATGTAGGGCTGGAAGGGGTCTCGAGAAGTCATCAAGTCCAGCCCCCTTACGCTGACACAGGACCAAGTAAATCTAGACCGTCCCTGACAGGGGTTTGTCCAGCCTGGTCTTAAAAAACCCTCCACTGACAGAGATTCCACAATCTCCCTTGGAAGCCTGTTCCGGAGTTTAACTATCCTTGCAGTCAGAAAGCTTTTCCTAATATCAAACCTCAATCTCCCTTGCTGCAGATTAAGCCCATTACTCCTTCTCCTGCCTTCAGTGAACATGGAGACCCAAAAGAGATTAGAACTGGAAAAGGGGATCTTTTATTCTGGTACACATTCACAGTGACAACTAACCGAGCCTCCATCTTGAGAAACTTCTTCACATGCCCCACAACTCCCTGGAGCACCCTTAAGGTGTCTCACAGTAAATAGCTACCTCACATTGGCCACCCGGAGGTAATAAGCATAACAAACATGCCTCCAACATTATAAAATCAGAAATTGAGGGGAAAATCTCTTGCATTCCTTGCCCCCTTCACATCACCGACAACACTGCTGATAACACGCTCCAACATTCTGTAAGGCTTCCACTTCCATTGCTGAGGCCCCAGTACTGCAGCACAGTTAAGCAAAGGTTTAACAAATGCTGAAGTCCCATTGAAGACACATTTCCATGAATATCAGCCATAAAGAAAGTGTATTCAATCGTTTTATTGAAAATGTAAACTTTTATATGCTGGGCTGTATATTTAATCTCATTTAACACGGATTCATTTTAGCTTCAGGTTCTGCACCTCACATCTCTGTTGAGGGTCACCAGGATGGAGGGATCCGAGTGGTGTGTCAGTCGGCCGGATGGTACCCGGAGCCCGAGGTGCTGTGGAGAAATCTCAAAGAGCAGCCTTTGTCTTCGTCAACTAAAACCAAATCTGAAGAGGAACATGGTCTCTTTGAAATAAAAAATTCTATCATTATAACAGAAAATTCAAACAAGAATTTGTCCTGTGCTATAAGGAACACCCACCTGAACCAAGAAAAAGAATCAATAACATTTTATATATCAGGTCAGTTACCACCCAAACCACACACTGTACTATCCAAAAGGAAGAAATCAGATTGTTAAATAATAACAAAAGTTAAAATATTTCCTCACAAAAAGCTACATTAAGATAAAGTTTAGGTTGAGAGCAAACTTTAGGATAAAATGCATTCCAAGGATATTGTTATTATCTCAGAAACAAGCATTTTAAAGCCAGTAGATTCAGGGTTAAGGTTAAATTTAAAAGAAATCCAAACATGTTAATGCATGGAAATGCCCTGTAGTAACACTATATATGTATATTATTGTGATTCAAACATGATGGTTAGTGTTTGTAGTCCCATATTACATTAAACGAATATTTAAGGTCACATTCAATTTTCATTCTCATACAGTCACCGCAGGGCAGTGGTAAGGTATATTGGGGGCCCTACTGATTGGTTGGACTTTCTGCCTCCTAGTGGACTGGTGAATCAAGGTCTAGGCTTCTTGCCCCAGTGAATATGCAGAGGGAGATGTGATATGCTGTGATCTCTTCAACACAGAGGAAATTTGTTGAATCTCTGCTCATGGCAGGTCAGAAGCAAGGCAGGGCCATGAAAGTCTGGAGCCCCAGGAACAGTCATTTGAGTGTCACTCACTAAAAGGTCCACGTTTTAATATGAAGTTTGATTTCTCACCCTTTAGCAAACTTCACAGGGAAAGGGGTTGCCATAGCAACAAAACCCTGTGGGCCTGATCCAAAGCCGGTTAAAGACATCAATAGGATTTGGATCAGTTCCTATGCCAGGAATTCCTGTGCTGAAGTGAAGAGTATTTGGATATTTATCTGCTCTCCCTTAATTATTGATTTCCTCTCTTAAAGCCTCAGATTTTCTTTTACTATGAAATTCCCTGGTGTAACAAAAGTTTAAATTTTACTTACGTCTAAGTTTTCTGTTGGGAAATTTAATGATTAACTATAATTTCTCTTCCTACGTGTTTTAACTGTAGTATTAATTTCATAAAAAGAAGGAAGCACTTTTCCCTGAATTGGCTCCTGGGTTGGGTGATGGGGTCAGGAGCCCTGGTTATCCCACAACATTAAGAACGTGTGCAAAGGAAGCAGAATTAAAATATAAACAAACCCACTACTAATTACATATATAATTATTCACACACATAGCCGCGTGCGCACACACACTGATTTTTCTTTTTTTGAGTATCAGAACAATGTGTTATTCCCTAACCCCGTTCTCAGAAATCATGGAGCCATTTTAGCTGAAACTTTTCAAAAAAAAGTTCAGCCTGAGGCAGACACCCAGCGCGGGAATTTTCTCCCCACATGGTAAAGTTTGGCAAAGTAATGAGCAAATGAAACGAAGGCGCTATAATGGGAAGTGTCGAGCAACTTTAATAACAAGTGAAGTGACTAGCTCCACCTAGAGAGAGCGAGAGAGGAGGGGATGAGGTGTAGGGCGGTTGTGCTTTTGATAGTATTTAATACATCATTTGGTACTACCAAAAGAGTGTGAGCAGAACCTCTTTTTAAAATTGGTTTCTGCCAGCTTTTAGATTGCAGGGAGGAAATTTTTCTACACGTATTTCACACAAATCCTGATGTGATGCATTTTCCTACAATAAAAGTGTACTGTTTGTTATTACTATTTCCAAACGAATGTGGGCTTTGTGTTTCAGATTCTTTTTTCCCAAGAGTATCTCCCTGGATGGTGGGTTGGAGTGTGACTTTGGTGATTTTGTTGGTGTTCGTCGGCCTTACTCTTTTTCTGTTCAAATTAAAAGGTAAAGCTATAAAGGGGAAAATACAGTGTAATCAGAATGAGGTTTTCTCCTTCGAAAAGACAGTTTAGACTTTTCTACGTGAGAAAGTTATACCAGCTTAAGGTGTGAATTTAAATTGATTTTGTAAAGCCAGAGCAAGCTCCTACGTGGACACGTCAGTTTAAGAAGAGCTTACTTCAGTTTAGTTTAAAACTGTTCCTATTCATCTTAAGATAAGCCTAAAACCAGGTTTGCACTAGTTTAACTAGATTTTCAGTGGGGCCTGAGGGAGTTAGGTTCTCAACTCCCATTGGAATTCAATATACTTTGGCTCTTAACTCCCCTACGCTCCTATGAAAATCCCTGCCTTATGGGGTTTTTGATTGCCTGTGTGCTGTTTGTGACCATCTCTGTTCTAGGACAGGTCTATGTGTGTAAATAATCAAATTACACTTAGAAGATACCCAGCCTCTGTGTCACTGATTTCTCTTCCACTGGGAACCCAACCTGCAAGTCCCTGGAGAGCTGCAATGGCTTGGTAGACGGGCAACATTATTATTACTTGAGGACTCATAATGAAAAGATCTTTTTAAATCTGGAGTCACTGAAAAAGGCTCTAAATAATTGTATTTATGTTTTCTTTTTTTAGGGAAACATCTCAACACTATCAGTAAGTTCCATTTTTGCTCCTGGTAGAACCAATGTTATATTATGAAAGATTTTTGACTGACTGTGACCATGTCAACTTGAAAATCATAAGCAATACAACCAATACTGATTGCATAACTTGTTATGTCGGTAATGGGTAGGAAGCCACTACTGTACATGTATCTTGAGTAAGGCATTTTCTTTCTGTTTATTATTTAGGTAAACTTCAAACAGAGCTAGGTAAGGGCATTTTTTTGTTTTGCTTTTTTTCTCACACTGATACAACCTTTTCTATGATAATGAATTCTATTGATACTGCATTTGTCTGGCTTAATTCTCATCCCCATCTATGTGTTTGCTTCCAGAGTGGAGGAGATCCCTGGGTGATGCAGGTAATTAAAAATCATATTTAATCAATGGGGGATCATGCTCCCTTTCGCTGTGCAAATAAACAAGGAGAAAACTATAATATTTCCCAGGTGGAAGAAGGGAGGGTGCTGAGGTTCAAAAGAGGGAGAGGAATGGACCATCCTCGCATGTCCTCCTTACACATTGCTCCCATAACTCTGGAAACGTCCCTGCTCCGAGTGACTGAGCAGTTATTGTTTCTTAGGATCCCCGCCCTAGTGTCAGGTAGAGGAACAAGAGCGCTGACCAGACACACGAGTTCAAACCAAGGAGTCCCTGTGATCAGTGTTCAGCTTGTGCTTCTTTTCTCTTCTCTCCATCCACAGTGATCTCCCCTTTCTGCTCTCTCCGTCAGATCCCAACTTCCTGCTGTTTTTAACCATCTTATCCACGTTCTCCTCCATGCCTTCATTTATATCAAACCCTCTTTCTTCTCTCTCCACCACCAACTCTCCTCTCTTGTAGAAGCCCCTTGCCCATAAATACAAATCTTTATGTTAGAAATGAAATCTAGAGTGATAATTCTCTTGGTCTGGTCCTGATGACTAGCTACAGAATTTTAATTAGGGAATCTATTGAATCATGTCATTATTGACAGATCTCAGATATGTGGCAGGATGGAGCAGGTGTCTGGGTGGCATCAACAAGAAACATCCAAGCTCCAGGACTTTAAATACAAGAGAGGGAGGGCACGTCAGAGAAAAGATAGTTGTGACCATGTGAATGATGTGAGGGGAAATCAACTAGGGCTTCCCTGTGATTCCAGGATCTCTAATCCCCACTCTGAGGATAGATGGGTGCACGAGGGGAAAGATTATGAGTCTCAGGACTGGGTCAGTAAATCTTTATGCTCTGTCACTGACCTGTCTCTGACTGGGGAGTGAAACTCAGGAGTGAATGCTGAGATCTCAGAGCTGCTTCCCATTCAGAGCCGGGTAAATCCTGGAGGAATATTTCCTGGTTCACTGTCCCGCTGGGACAGATTCTGTCACTGATATAATGAAACACTCCCCCAAGGTGGAGCTGTGTCCCTAACGCTCTGATTCTCTCTCCCCCTAGCGAATGTGACTCTGGATCCAGACACGGCTCATCCAGAACTTGTCCTGTCTGAGGATCGGAAAAGTGTGAGATGGGCAGACACACGGCAGGATCTGCCCAACAACAATCCTGAGAGATTTGACACTGAGCGCTGTGTGCTGGGCTGTGAGGGGTTCACCTCAGGGAGACATTACTGGGAGGTGGAGGTGGGAGTTGGGCTACTCTGGGCTGTGGGGGTGGCCAGGGAGTCTGTGAGGAGGAAGGGAGGGATCAGCCTTAGCTCTGAGGAGGGGATCTGGGCTATGGATCAGAGGCAGGGCCAGTACCAGGCTCTCACCGCTCCTGTGACCCCCCTGCTCCTGAGCCAGGCCCCCAGCAGGATCCGGGTTTGTCTGGACTGTGAACGGGGGCAGGTGACATTTATCAATGCTGCTGACGAGGCCCCGATCTTCACTTTCCCACCGGGCTCTGTCCCTGGAGAGAGAATCCACCCTTGGCTCTGGCTGGGGATGGAAAGCCAGCTCAAACTGTGTCCCTGAGGGATGGGGGGGTATATCCCACTGGGGACCCTGAAATTAGCCTGTCTAGTCTCACACACCCCAGTCTCTATGATCTTGGCATCACCCAGTCCTATGGCCTCTTAATTCTATGTCCCCTGGAAACTCCTCCCCCCTCCCTCCCTGCAGCACAGAGATTTATAAAACGTCATTGAAGGTGAGACTGTCACTCATTCATTTCATACGTTACTTCCTTGACTTTGTTGCCATTTCAGTATCATTAAAAAAATGGTTCCCAAAACCTGTGGTTCTGTTTTCCATTGGGGTGGGTATTGAAGCTGTTTCTCGGCTCCTTTTTGCTCTGACGGGTATTCACGGGTAAATAAAGCATGAAAGACAATTCTGATTTGTCCCTTTATAGTTTTCCAGCTGCAATTGTTGGGGGCAGAGTCGTGGGATTTGCTTCCCTACTTGGCTGTGTCCCCCCAGCACCAGCAGCCAATATACTGGCATGTCCCTCTCATGAGAGCTGGGGGTTTGCTGTGATATGCTGCTATCCAGCCTGTGCTCTGTCCCTTGTGCTGTCTATAGCCATGTAAATCAGGAATTCCTCAGCTGGGCTCTGTGGAGAGGTGGCTGAACACGTGGTGTTGACTCTCCTCTTTGTTTCCAGATGTGTTGAATTTATTCAGAGGTGGCTAAAGATATATGATATATGTTGTTCACATTTCTTCTGCCCATCAGCAATTGCTGTGGTGTCCAGGGCAGCGTTCATGGGCCGGGACCTGCTCCGAGAGACAGTCTCCAGGGGTTTGTCTACATTAGGATGCAGGTTTCTCTCTCTCATTGTACAGTCTGTGTGTAGACAAGGAAAGTGGTTGTTTCACCTCAGGGTCACTGGTCAAGAAAAATTCTGTGGGCTGGGGGATGTTTGGGAGGGTTATCGGTCACCTTGATTAGCTAAACTGAGGTGAAAGCATCACTTGCCTCATCTCCACTAGGACTGTATAATGACATCACTGCCTTGTGTTTGCTATTGCTTTGAAAAAAATACCCTTTCTCCTAGGGGTGGCCATGAGCTAAAAGATGGATCTAAAGGGAGACACCCCACTCTCGGCCAGGGCTGTGACTTTGTTTTCTGTGAGCTTCTAATGTAAATGATTGGGGGTGGGATCCATGAAGGGACTTAGGTGTTGCAACGCTGAGCATCACCCGCACGTCATTTTTAGGTGCCTAGAACATCAAAAGATCAACACTGCGACCCACAAAGCCTGACTTAGGTGCCTAGTCTCCCTATACAATGAATGGAGACAGACAGGGGCCTTAAAATGCCATCCACAAGAGCCGGCATACTAGGTGGGGAGCCATCTAAACTAGCCAATGGGAGATGCTAACAACAGGGGTGTGTCCTAAGCTCTGCCCCTTTCTTGAAGATAAGTGCTTAAGTCTGCATTGCTGGGGGGCACCTACCTCTGCTTAGCAATCCACGAATGGGAACCCACCTCCTGAGACATTTCTTCTGGGAATGAGTTAGGCCCCTGCTGAGCTGCACACAACCTGTGAGTGGAGGGAGAGGTGGGGGTTGTTTTGGTGCTGGGAGCCAATTCATAACTTTAAGCCAATGATAGCACACTTTCCTGGGATGTGGGGGACCCAGGTTCAATGTCCCCAGCCTTTGCTACAGGGGGAAAAAGGATTTAAACTGGGGTTACTCAGTTTCTAGGTGGGTGCTGCAACCACTGAGCTATGGTACAGTCTGAGGGTGGTATTCTTCAGTCTCCTCTATTGCAGCTGGTTCACTGTGTGTAAATAATGAAGGAGCAACTGGAACTGGGGGACTGGCCCCAGGAGCTCCCACCCCCCAGATGGGCTCCCTGACCACAGGACCCCAGAGTCATTCTCACTTTCTGGCCAATGTCCATTTAAATGTTTATCTACAGTGGAACAGTCACTGGGCCAGAGTGAGAAAGAGAATGTCTCTAGTCCAATGGTTGGGGCACCCACCTGAGCGGGGGAGACCCAGGATCCAACCACTCTGTTCCCATCACTCTGTCATTATTTATCCCAAGTGGAACACCTTTAAGAGGCTGAAGGGTCTTAACACTTGGCTTTTCTCCCCTCCCTCGCGCCCCCCAACTCAACACCTGGAGGAACATTTGAAGAGCAAAGATTTTGAATGGGGGAAGTGGGTCCCAGGCTGGAAGGCAATTCCAGCCTGTGTAGTGAGGATCTGTAGCCTTAGAGTGACCAGATGAGAGACATAAAATATCGGGACGGGGGGGGGGGCAAAAAAGAAAAAGAGCCGCCAGAGCATAGGAAAAATTGGTGGGGCTGATCACCCACCGGCAGCTCCCTGCCCTGCCCCAGCTCACCTCCACCTCCCCTGAGCGGGCTGCCATGTCCTGCTTCTCCCCCCTCCCTCCAGTGCTTGCGCCGCCATACAGCTGATTCACGCAAGCCGGGGAGGAGGAGGAATGCGACGTGCTTGGGGAAGAGGTGGGGCCGGGGCGGGGATTTGTGGAGGGATCCAATGGGGCAGGGAGAGGATGGAGTCAGGGCGGGGCCAGGGCTGAGTTGGGGGCGGGGAGGGCGTGAGCTCCCTCCGCCTGTGCTCCGGAGTGCAACATATCGGGACAAGTCACGATGTTCGGTCGGGATGCGGGACAAACAAGTAAATATCAGGACAGTCCTGATAAAATCGGGATGTCTGGTCACCCTATGTAGCCTGCTTGTATCATCTGACAGGGTGGGACACTGCTTGATTGAAATCCTATTTAGTTTGTAGAACTCAGACTGCAAATTTATTTTTATTTCTTGAAAAAGCAACTTTGATCTCTACGCTTGCTACCTATAATCCCTTAAAAATTATCTTTCTGTTGCTAATAAATCTGTTTTAGATTTTACCTAGTGGGTTTTGGTTGAAGAGCTTGGGAAATCTCAGGTCAGTTTACAAAGGCTAGTGTGTATCCTCTCCACATCTAGGGAGGGGCGGACTGGGTGAAATGAACTGACACTGGCCAGGCTTCTGTGCCAGATGGTAAAGTTCTGGGGTGCAAGGCTGAGGAGCTGGGTGGAATCGGCTGGAGCCTCTATTGTTGGTTCAGGAGTGTCTAGCAAAAGCATTCATGTAACTCAGTTGGGTGGGTCCCTGCCTGTGGATGGCTGAGTAAGTGCAGCACCTGCCAGAGGTTTGTAGCTTGTCATCAGCATCACAGTGTGAGGGGCAGCTCAGGTTGGTGGGACAGAGAGCTCAGCATTCCCACAGTCTGGGGACCCCATCACAGTGATTAACATGCCCGTCTGAGCGGTGGGAGACACACAGTTCAAATCTTTCCTGGTAGAGAGGTGGGACTGAACTTGGGTTCCCCACATTCCAGCTCAGTGCTTTAACCACTGGGCTAGAAGTTATAAGGTGAGCAGCACCACCACCTCTTCCATTGGACAGCTGTTTGAATGGGACCCAATCTGGCAGGCATGCTGGGAGGATCGGGCCCCACATGCAAGATCGGCAGCTGAATGCCGACTTTCCCCTGGTCTATGATTCACTTTGGGGCTTAGGTGGGAGATAGGCACCTCACACTCCTAGAATGGGGCAGCAGTGCACACAGCCAGAGGCAGAAACAGGTGCCAAGGGAACTTGTACCCTGAAAACCGGACATGAATCTCCCCCTTTTTGAGCCCCAGCGCCTGTACCCTGTTCCCGATTTCACCCATCTGCCGCTCTCCTTCCCCTCCCTCCTGCCCCCCAAACCCTGTTGCACTCTCCTCTGGACACCTTTTGGCTCCTGCACAAATTCTGCCCATCCCACCCCTCCCACTTTCCTGTGTTAGCCCCCTTGCATTGCAGGAAGCAGCTTGTTATCTCAAATGAGGGTAGAGTGAGGGCAGCAGCTACAGGGGATGATTTTTTATTATTATTCAAATAATTTCATTGAATTAATCTTGAAAAGACTTTGGATTCTTAAAGGTTCAATCGTGATCATAGGTGCTTCTCGGCCTCTAGGATTCCTCGTGGGGTGTGCTTGGGGGCGCTGCTCCCTGGACAATGACAGACCACATACAGCAAGGGAGGGAGATAGAGCCTGTATCTGCACTGCCAGATTCTGTTTCCTGCTGGTCCCTTGATGTTCAAGCCCTCATCCCCCTCTATCCTGTGGTCCCACATTCTTACGAGGAACCCCTTGTGGTGAGATGTTGACATTGTAGCTGAACGTACGGGCTAAGGCAGGAGCGCTCGTCACTGGGAAGTGTTTTAGGCTAAGGGTTAGAAAATTACTCTGTGCAAAATGTGCATTAGCAGTAGCTGGTGAAATATCAGTTAAAGAAGAAAAAGTTGAATAATGAGCCAGCACGACATTACTTGCTGGGTTTTCTCCAGCTTGACCCTGCGCTGATTAAAAAGTTAACACAGATGCAAGATAATTTTTATAGATAGTATAAGGTTGTTCCCAATTAAATACTGACCTGTAAAAGTGGCCTGACTTAAGAAAAAATCCCCTCCTGGGGCAATTACACTTGTTGAATTCCTTGAGCTTTTTGTAGAGCACAATCATCCTACAGACAGTAGACGTTTTCCTTTCAGATGTAGATTTTAGACGTCTCCTTTGGATTGTTTATAACTTGATGGATCTCAGCCTTGGACGTTTGGGCCTTTCAAGAAATGCTGTTCCATGTTCAGGACACTGGAGCATGGTCAATAACAGCAAAGTAGCAAATTCTGATGGGAAGCAGATTCTGATCCAGTGGATTCACCTGTGATCAGCAGCCCAGCACCTCTGTTCCACCCCCTGCCTGCAACACCCAGCCTGGGAACGGGGAGAGGGGACCACACTGCAACCCTCCAGGGTCCAGGCAGGGGAATGGGGGTGAAGGACACACACGCACTGGCGGTGACAGGGGGAGTTCAGATATCAAACGACCAAAAAACACAATATAATCTTAAAACAAAGCAAACCATGATGTTGGGGCTAATTTCATGATTTCTTTTGGGGCTGGGGAGAGGCTGACTCATGAAAAGCCCCATAGGGGCCACTGAAACAGGGGAGCAACTTTGGCTCAATCTCAGGACTTCAACAGCCTGTGCCGAGGTCTGCACCAGCCCCTGCAGCCACTGAACAGGGGAGTCACAAACTACTTCTCCTCTATCCCTTTGCCAGCACAAGAGTGAATCTGGCCCATTGAGCCAACCAGCTCCTGCCTCAGT